GCTGCCAGGGCTGGGGGTTGTAGAGCCCTGGGTGCGGGGTCCTGCCCGCGCACCGCAACCTGCGCCGGGGTGGCAGCCTCCTGTCTCTGCCCTGCCCTGGCTCCAGCAGCTCCTCCTGCCTTTGACTGCCTCCCCATCCTGTAGTTTGTTTGTTTCCTCTTTATTGCCGCATCTGCATTCAGTGCAGGCATCGGGTCTCCAGTGTGAGAGCCCTCCCTGGGCTGTACGTTTGCGTGGGCATCCTTCATCCCCAGGACATGCCGTGGGCAGATTGGCCTCCTGGCCAGGATTGCACACTGCCGTGCTCCACACTGCTGAGGGGGGAAGGCTCACTCCTGCCGTGGGGTGCTGCCCAGGGACTCCCAGCTCTGCAGGTTGCGAGTGGGTTCCAGGGGTGACATTCCCTCTCTCCCTACCGTGCTCATAGCCTGTAATGCCGAAAGGCACTGCAAAGTGGAGACTGCCACGCGAAAATCTCTGCAGCTCCCAGCTCAATATGTTTTAAAGCAGGATAATCCTGGCAGGGGCATGCTGGAGAGCGTGGTGGGGGAGAGCTGGGGAGGTGTAGCCAGCAGGCTGGGAGCAGACCCCCTGCCACGTGTGGGTCCAGCTGTGGGGCATACCTTGCCTTGGTGCTGAGCAGAGCCTGAGCTGGACAGCAGCCATGGGGTGCGTGTAGGTACCCCACGGGCTGCCCTCTCCCCTTATTTCCACTAGCGAGGCAAGCAAGCCAGGACAGCATCTCCCTTCTGGCTGGAGTGCTTGTCCCTGTGCTCACCCGGGACTTTTGCATGAGAGAGCAATGCCAGGAGAAGCAGCTTGTCCTGTGCAAGCATCTCTTAGCAGATGAAATTAAGGGTGGCTCATTCTCCAGGCAGAAGGTGTGAGGTGACTGCACGCTGAACCAGTCATGATGAATGTGGGTGACCTGCAGCTTTGTGTTTGGAGGGATCCTGCTTTTCTAGGGAACAGTTGTTTGCTTTCTTATTACCCCTGTCCTCTCTAAGCCGCTCTGTGTGTTTGGGATGACCCTACCAGGTGTTTGCTATGTTTCCAGAGTGGGGTGATATGCACCCAGCCAGGCAGCTGCTGGTGTCACTGGGCTGCTTATCACATTGCTGAAGGCTCTGAGGCTTCTGTCGCAGTGTGGGCACAGGGAGATGGGGGAACCGGGCAGCCCCTGCTGCTTTATGGTCCATGAAAGATACCAGCTTACATGCTCCTGCCCAGACAGATTTCTGTGTGCCCAGTGCTGCTGGCTGTTGAGGATGAGGGTCCTCTCTGGAGCCAGCGGCCAACCCTGTTGTTCTCGGTGAGAGACACAGAAATGCAGCAGCCGCTGCTGTCCTTTGGACCATCTCTGCCGTTTCTGGGGAGCTACTGGGGAGTTGCAGTGCCTGGCCACCTCCTGAGCACTTCTTGCTGATCTCTGCCTCTTCTCTCTGCAGGGAGCTCAACGGCAACAACATCACGCGCATCAACAAGAATGACTTTGCTGGGCTGAAGCAGCTCCGTGTCCTGTGAGTTCCTGGTGAGGGGCTGGCTGCCCCGACCTTGGCGGGCACCGTGCTCAGCTTGTGGCCTCTCCTGGGGCTGGTAGAAATGATGCTGAGCCCTTTTCTGGGCATCTGCTGGCGGGGCTGGAGGGCATCTGCATTGGACTGAGCATGGTGGGCTTCCAGCTGGAAGGGAGTGGGCACAAAGAGGCCAGGTTGTGTTGAGGGGATGGTGGGAGTGAGGCGGCCCTGGGTCCAGAGGAGCATCTGGGACATCACTGGTGAGATGGGGACACTGAGGACTGCCTTTCCAGAAAGCTGTCCCCTTCTCTCCACAGGCAGCTGATGGAAAACCAGATCAGCCTGGTGGAGCGTGGAGCGTTTGATGACATGAAGGAGCTGGAGCGGCTGTGAGTGTCCGGGCATGGAGGCGGGTCGGCGAGGTTGGGTTTAGTCGCAGAAAGCATCCTTTACTTTTTGCCTTAAACCATAATGTATCGGTGCTGTCTGACTTCAAACAGCTTCTCTGCTGCACAGCGGTGGTGTTTTACAGTGTGGGAAGCAAACCTATTTCTGTTTCTATAGATCTTAAAGTCCTTTCTGATGCTTTTGAGGTGAGGGGCAGGTTAAACACAAATCACTCTCACTATTATCAGCTGCATCCCATGTGTTAGCGAGGGAGCCGTAAGTTCCAGTCCACTACTCAGTAAAACAGCTCAGCATTTTAAAAATCCTGAGCTGTTCGAGCAAATATGAGGAGCTGAGCGAGCAGCAGGTTAACAGTGCAGTTAAGCAGCAATCAGCAGTTAGCAGCCTGGAGTCCTGTCTGTGTGTAATTACAATATTGTGAGTAAGTCTATTAATGCCCTGTTGGTTGCCCTGGCCTGAGGGTGCCATGGGTGGGCCAGGGGTGCCCTCGCCAGGTGGGATGCTCTGCTCTAATGACCCCTCCGAGTGAGCCAAAGTGCCCTAGCTGTGTCCAGAGCTGCCAGCTGGGTTGCAGGGGGGGGGTGATTGCTTTCCTTCCAAAACCCTGACTCTTTCTTCCTTCCCTGCAGCCGGCTG